CCTTCTCTATCTGAGCTGCCTTTTCCCCCAGCATGTGCTGCATTCCAAGCTGTGGAGCAGAACTCTTGGTACTTATATCAACTATTCTTGGGTGTTCATCTCCCATTCTGTTACTTAATATTCCCCAAATGCGTACAAACTTTCTACGTCTGTCCCTCTCTCTCTGACTCATTTCACTTAGCATGATACTTTCCATGTATAATCACTTGTACGCAAATTTCATGACTTCATCTTTTCTAACAGCTGCTTAGTATTCCATTGTGTAGATGTACCAAAGTTCCTTTAACCAGTCATCGTGTTTTTTCAGGCACTCATGTTTTTTCCCAGATTTTGGCTATGGTGAACACTGCAGCAATGAACATAGAAGTGCAGATGTCATTTCAACTGTAATTTTTTTTTTGCCTCTCTGAGATATATTCCCAGGAGTGGTATTGCTGGGTCAAATGGGAGCTCAATTTCTAATTTTTTTGAGAATCGTCCATACTGTTTTCCAAAAGGGCTGAACCAGTCGGCATTCCCACCAGCAGTGAAGAAGAGTCCCTTTCTCCCCACATCTGCGTCAACACCGGTTGCTTTTGTTCTTTTGGATGTGGGCCAGTCTCTGTGGTGTGGGATGATATCTCATTGTTGTTTTGATCTGCATCTCCCCGATGATTAGTGATGTAGAGCATTTTCTTATGTGCCTTTTAGCCATTTGGAGTTCTTCATTGACAAACTTTCTGTTCATTTCATAACCCCATTTTTTGATGGGGTTTGATGTTTTCTCCTTGTGGCGTTCAACCAGGGTTTTGCATATCCTTGATATCAACCCCTTTTTGGATGGGTATTGGGTGAATATCCTTTCCCATTATGTAGATTGTCTTTGTATTTTGGTCACTGTATCTTTTGTGGTTCAGAAGCTTCTTAATTTGAAGTAGTTCCATTTGTTTATCTACATTTCCACTTGGTTGGTCAGTGGCACGTCATCTTTGAAGATACCATTAGAGCCTCAATATTGTGGAGGATTTTACTGATCTTGTCTTCAATGCATGTTGTGGATTGTGGTCTGATGTTGAGCTTTTTTATCCATTTTGATCTGACTTTTGTGCACCCATGTTAGGTCGAGTCTAAGCAAAATTTTTTGCATGTGGTTGTTCAGTTATGCCAGCACCATTTGTTGAAGAGACTTTCCTTGTTCCACTTCACATTTCTTGCTCCCTTATCAAAGATTAGTTGTTCATACATTTGGGGTTGTGGGTACAGATATTCCACCCTGATTCATGGATCTACGGCTCTGCCTTTGTTTCAGTACCATGCTGTTTTGTTGGGCTGGAGCGATGGCACAGTGGTAGGGCGTTTTCCTTGCATACAGCCAATATGGCTGAGTTTGATTCCTCCTCCCCTCTCGGAGAGCCCGGAAAGCTACCGAGAGTATCTCGCCCGCAACAGCAAAGCATGGCAAGGTCCTCGTGACATATTCTATATGCCAAACACAGTAACAAGTGTCACAATGGAGACATTAGTGGGCCCGCTCGAGCAAATCGATGAACAACGGGAGGACCCTGACCGTGACCGCTGTTTTGTTATTGCTTTGTATTAGAGCTCGAGGTTGGGGAGGGTGAAGGGTGATGCCTCCCATCGTCTTTCTCCCAAGAATTTCTTTAGCTATTTGTGGGCATTTGTTGTTCCAAATGAATTTAAGGAGTGCTTGATCCATTTCTTTGAAAAATCTCATGGGTATCCTTATAGGTATTGCATTGATTCTGTATAGTGCCTTGGGGAGTATAGCCATTTTGACAATGTTAATTCTTCCTATCCATGAGCAGGGGGTATGTTTCCAATTCCTCATGTCCTCTTTTATTTCGTAAAGTAGCATTTTGTAGTTTTTTTGTAGAGGTCCTTTACCTCCTTTAGTTAACCTGATTCAAAGGTACTTGATTTTCTGGGGCACTGCTTTGATTGTGAATGGGATTGCTTTTTTCTTTTCTTTCCTCAGTCTCATTATTTGCATATAGAAAGGCCATGGATTTTTGGGTATTGATTTTATAGCCTGCGACTTTACTGTACAACTCTATTTGTTTCTAGGAGTTTCTTGGTAGAGGCTTTAGGATTCTCTGGATATATTATCTTATCATCTGAGAATAATGAGAGCTTGATTTCTTCCTTTCCTATCTGGATGCCCTTAATATCTTTTTCTTGCCTAACTGCTATTGCAAGTACTTCCAGTACTATATTGAACAGAAGTGGTGATAGTGGGCATCCTTGTCTTCTCCATGATCTTATAGGGAAGACCCTTAGTTTTTCCCCATTGAGGATAATGTTTGCCATACGTTTGTCGTGATGGCTTTGACTATCTTGAGGAAAGTTCCTTCCACACCCATTTTGGTGAAAGTTCTCATCATAAACAGGTGTTGGATCTTGTCCAATGTTTTCTCTGGACTGCATCTATTGATATGAATATGGTTTTTATCTTTACTTTTGTTGATACTATGGATTATGCTGATTGATTTCTGAATGTTAAACCATCCTTGCATCCCCACAATAAATCCCACTTGGTCATAGTGTATGATACTTTTAATGAGTTGTTGAATTCTTTTTGCTATTATTTTGTTGAGGATCTTTGCATTCATGTTCATCAGATATTGGCCTGTAATTTTTTTGGTTAGTGGTGTCTTTGTTTGCTTTTGGTATTAGGGAGATATGTGCCTCATAGAAAATATTTAGGATATTTCCTGTTTTTTCAATTTCCTGGAAAAGTTTGAGGAGAACTGGCAACCGGTCTTGGAAGTATTCACTAGTGAATCCATATGGGACTGGGATTTTATCTTATTTTTGGGAAGACTTTTGATTACAGTTTCAATTTCCTTGATATTAATGGGTCTGTTCAGGTATTCCAAGTTTTCTTGGGTCAGTCTTGGGAGATTATAGGAATCCAGGAATTTATCCATTTCTTCTAGGTTCTCTTGTTTCGTAGCATACAGACTCTCAAAGTAGTCTCCTTTGGCCAGGTTTGTGTTCCTTTTGTTGGTCTTTTTCTAAGATCTTGAGCTGTGAAGTCAAGTTATCTATGTAGGCCCTTTCTTCCTTTCTGAGGAATGCTTGCAAAGCTATAAATTTCCTCTTAACATGGCCTTGCCTGTGTCCCATAGGTTCTGGTAGCTTGTGTCTGCATTCTCATTTGTTTCCAGGCATCTTTTGATTTCTTCCTTGACTTCCTTCCTGATCCGCTCATTGTTCAACTTGGGGTTGTTCAATCTCCAGGTGTTTGATTTGGTTCTCTACGTCTGTATGATTCGCTTCTATCTTTCCCACATCTTGGTCTGAAAAGATAGTTGATGCAATTTATATCTTCTTAATTTTATTGAGGTATGTTTTGTGACCCAGCACAAAGTCTGTTTTAGAAAATGTTCTGGGCGCACTGGAAAAGAATGTTTATTCTTTCTTTTTGGGATGATAAGACCTGTATAGGTCTATTAGCCCTCTCTCTTCCATTTCTTCCTTCAAAGCCAGTGTTTCCTTGCTCAGTTTTATTCTTGTTGATTGACCCAGAGGTGATAAGGCAATATTGAAGTCTCCGACTACTATTGTATTGTTAGCAATATTCTCCTTAAAATCTGTTAGCAGTTGTTTTTAGTATTTAGCTGGCCCCACATTAGGTACATATACATTTAAGAGTGTGATTTCTTCTTGTTGTACATGTCCCTTGAGAAATAGTAAATGGCCTTCAATGTCCCTTCTAATCTTTTTAAACATGAAATCTATGTTGTTGGATACTGGTATGGTTACTCCAGCATTTTTGAGGGAGTTTTTTTTTTTTTTTTTGCTTTCAGGACTGTTTTTCATCCTTTAACTTTGAGTCTGTGTTTGCTCTGTCTGTTCAGCTGAGTTTCTTGTAGGCAGCAGAATGTTGGTGTCAGTTTCTGGATCTATTTTGAGACTCTGTTTCTCTTAATTGGTGCATTTATACCACTGACACTCAGAGAGATTATTGTCATGGGGTATTGTGACATCTTTCTGTAAGGGTTTGTTGTGCTTATGGGTGTTTTCCTTCTTCAATTACAGGAGCCATTTTAGTCCTTCTTTTAGGTTTGGTTTTGAGTCTATGGAGTTCCTGAGTTTTTTTTAATCTATAAAACAGTGTACCATTCCATCGACTTTGAGTGAGAGATTAGCTGGATAAAGTATTCTTGGTGAGGTATTCATTTCATTGAGTTTTTTCACTATACCGCACCATTGTCTCTGGGCTTGGAGGGTTTCCTCTGCTAGGTATGCCATAAATTTAAGAGGTGCTCCTTTGTACGTAATTTCCTTCTTTGACCTTGCTCCTTATTGTATTGTGTTTCTATCCATGGCATCCATCATTCTGACTATGATATACCTCGGAGTGTTTTTTATTAGGGTCTCTTTTAGCTGGCACCCCTTTGGCTCCTTGGACCCTGATATCTGCATTCTCTAACTCTGGGAACTTTTCAACAATGATTTCTTTAACTGTGGCTTTTTCCCTGGAGCTGTCTCCCTGCCCTTCTGGTACTCCAATGATTCTAATGTTTCTCTAGGAGTCATCCTCTAGCTCTCTGATTCACCTTAGAGCTATTTTGAGGTCTTTTCCCATGTTGTTGCCTATACAATTTCTCCTGCTCATCTTCAAGATCACTAATTCTGTCTTCAGCTGTAGTCATTCTACTGCTGAGAGCACCCACTGAGTTTTTAATTTTATCTACCTAGTCCTTTATTTGTGACATTTCTTTTTGTAACTTTCTTGTTTCTGCTCTCATTTCTTCCTCTACTTTCTCAGCTATCTGTTCCACTGATTCTTCATATCTTCCTTTAATTTTCTGGATGTCTGCTCCAGTGATTCTTTGAATTCCTTGAACATGCTCAGAATTTCATCTCGGAATTCTTTACCAGAGAGATCAAATTTGTGGGTAACCGCTATTGAGTATTCGGGACTCTTTACTTCATCGTCTCCTCGTAGTGGAGATTTCTGTTGTTTCCTCATGCTGTAGTGGTTGTACAGAGGTAAATATATGCAATACCTCACGAATTTGCATGTCATCCTTGTGCAGGGGCCATGCTGATCTTCTCAGTATTGTTCCAATTTTAGTGCATGTGCTGCCGAAGTGAGCACTAAATTCACTTTCAAGCATGATCCTTTTCTTACTTTTGCTCTTCACCATTCACTCATTCCTCTATACTTCTTCATTTTTTGCCTCTTTCTATCTCATCTGATGCATATCTGTCCATTTTAAAAAATCTTTAAATACTTTTTGTTCACTTTCCAAATCTTCTTTTAGTCTTGATTTTCTTGAGGCCTACCAGTGATTGCAGTAAGTTTAGAAAGCTCATTAACTAATTTCCTTAATGCCTTTACGTGGCAGGTACATTAACCTAAACATATGTACTCGACTGCCTCAATTCTAGAGACCCTAGTGGCTCTTTTGGTCAATAGCTGTATTGTGTTGCTCCCTATCATTCCTAATTAAATGCACACCACTCCTGATTTCTGCCGAAGATGAAATACAGTTCCTTGGCAAATTTTCAATCTTACTGATCTTTCCCCTCTTAATGATCAGTTTTATTCATTTATCCAATTTAAAAAATTGTGGCTTTGGCACACGTGCCTCAGGCTAATAGAGCACAATTAAACACATTCAAGGCGATACAGAAAATGTGGGGATTATATAATTAATCAGTTTTAAGTAGTATAAAAATTGCTACTTTAAAAAGCAAAACACTGGCAGGGGGAAAGGGATACTTTGAAGAACGTGAAAGCATTTCAACTGCTGTTTTTCCCCCTGCATTATGTTTTCATATATACAGGCTACATTGTAACAGTGTGTATTTCTTTGTGACACTACTTTTTCCCTCAGTGTCCTGGCTACCTCACTAGGTATCCTGTTTAAGCACACAAAAGAGCAGCTGATACAGAATTTATGTGAATGCCCTTAAGAAATCCAGGTACATTTTAATCTTCTTGGAGTTATATGGTTACTACATTTGTAAATTAGTATGTTGGTATATCAGGGTGGTGATGGAAACTCTATGGTGGATTCTAGGTTTTTTTTTCAGTTAAGATTTTTTTCTTTCTTTTTGGGTCACACCAAGTGATGCTCAGGGGTTACTCCTGGCTCTGATCTCAAGGAATTAATCCTGGCAGTGCTGGGGGAAACATGGGATTCTAGGTTTCAAACTAGAGTCGGCGGGTGCAAGGAAAATGCCCTACCCAAAGAACTATTTCTCTGGCCCCTTAGTTAAGTTTTTATACGGGCCCACCACATACTCCTGTACTTTTCCTTTTAATTGAGAAAGACTAGTCAATGGAAGACCACATTACATTCATTTTCATGTGGCTGAAAGATAAATGGAGTCAGCAAACTCAGGTTCCATAGTGAAGGCAGTATCCTGTAGAACAATGTCTAACTAGTCTACCATACCGCAGATCAGTGCTCTTGATCTCATTGAAATAATCATCCCAAGTGCTCACCTGACCCCTCCAACCATCCTCCCCCTGTGTTAAGCTTCCTACTGAAGACCGGGTCCTAGCTTCTGTTGTCTTTGGGCATTTGCCTTTCCCCTGCTCGGTGCCTTTATATCCTGCATATAAGAGAGATTATTTTGTGTCAGTCCTTTCCTCCTAACTTCACTGAGCATGATATGGTACACACCCATCCATGAAGCAGCAAATTGCATGATTTCGTCTTTTCTTAGAACCAAGTGCTATTCCATTATGTGCATAAACGTGAGTTCCTCCATCCAATCATCTATCCTTGGACACTGGGTTGCTTCCGGATTCAGGATGCTGTAAATAGTGCTGCAATGAACAAATCATAGCAAATGCCTTTTCTGAATAGAATTTCGGGTCTCTTGGGTTTTAACAGTCTATTCATTCTCAGTGGTTCTGATGGAGATAGTAAATTCCAAATTTGTTTAAATCGTTTCAGTCAACTCCATCTTACACAGAAACACTGGAATCACTTGTGTATTGAAAAACAAAAACCCACAAGCTTCTGAATATCTGTCAGCCTTTTAACAATATCCAATAAACTTCTACTGGTCAGTTCCATTTAGTTCTCCTTGAATTCCAGAACCACCAACTCAACTTTTCTAAACTTTCATTTTTAGAATTTTTTAGTGACTTACATTGAACAAGTGAACTTGAGTACATGGCCCTGAATTTATTCTATGAATGTAAATTCTTAGTTAATAATGTCACTTCGATTTGCAAAATAAGCAATCCAATTAAGAAACCTAAGGAAATGTCTGAAATCTTTCATCCTCAATAATTCTAATTAATTTTACCTGTGATTTTTCTCTTGCCTGGCTACAATGATCTCAATTCTCACTAATATTGTTTTAATATTATCTTGACAGTTGTTTATAAAGCATGATTCCTAAATAGACTGTGACTCTCCAGTCCTTCATCTTTTCAATCTTACCACGATCTCAAAATATCTAGCTTCCAAAATAAAATGTCTGTGCATATTTAAATTTAATAATTTTCAAGTATTCATGATTGCTTTACATAGTAGAGTTAAAATTGTCATAAATGATTCTTTTGAAATTGCACCATTGTTTTGTTTCCTGCCCCCGTGCCTGGCTATTCCTCGCCGAAGCTCCTTGGAGGGGAGCGGGTTGAGCTTTCCTCCCCGCCCTGACCAGGGCCCCAGCAGCCGAAGACCTCCAGGACCAGCCACCACCATGCTGAGACTACTCTCCGCACACCTGAAGGTGCCAGCAGAGGGACAAAGCCACGTGGGTTCCGGGGCCGAGATCTCCAAGCCTACACGGATTGGAGTCGAGCATCCTCCACCCAGATCCTCCAATTCCAGTAGGCGGGGGTCACACCCACCAACTGGCCCCCTGGCGCCATGTAATCCCATCAGTGGCCAAGACTCAGAAACTATAAAAACCAGCTCCCGGAACATCTTATTATGACATCTCATTCCTACTTTGACAAACTGGCAGGCTACCGAATGTAGCCTGCCCACAGGGCAGAGTCTGGCAAACTCCCCGTGGCGTCCCCAATATGCCAAATACCAGTAACAATGATGGGTCTCATTCTCCTAAAGAGCCTTGAATATAATCTCAGGGCTTGGATGAAGGAGACGTTACTGGGGCCTGCTCGAGGCAATCAACGAATAACACTATGATTTGTGTGATTTATGATTTGTTTTGTTTGTTGTATCTCTTCCAGGCCTTATTGTCCAAATGACACACCAAGCAGAATCAATTGCCATCTTTCTAGTTATATCAGGCTGTTTACCATTAAAAATTCCTTACTTTCTCTAATTCTTTATTTTAATTTGATTAATTTACTTTGGACTGGGGAGCGATAGCACAGCAGGTAGGGCGTTCGCCTTACAAGCGGCCAACATGGCTGACCCAGGTTCGATTCCTCCATTCCTCTCGGAGAGCCCGGCAAGCTACCGAGAGTATTCGATATGCCAAACACAGTAACAACAAAGTCTCCAATGGAGACGTTACTGGGCCCGCTCGAGCAAATCGACGATCAACGGGAGGGCCTTTACTTTTTTTTACCTTTACCTTACTTTGGACTGGAGCGATAGCATAGCAGGTAGGGCATTCGCCTTGCCAGTGTTTAATTCCTCCGTAGTTCGTGGAGAGCCCGACAAGCTACTGAGAATATCCAGCCTGCACGGCAGAGCCTGGCAAACTCCCCATGGCATATTCAATATGCAAAAACAATAAGAAGTCTCATAATAGAGACGTTACCGGTGCCCGATTGAGCAAATCAATGAACAACGGGACGACAGTGCTACAGTGCTACAGGGCTAATTTACTTTGGTTTTTATATAAGGCACATGTGATGTTGCTGGTGTGAGTGGTGGCACAGACCATGTCCAGAGAAGCTGCTGTTGTGGTGTGACCTGAGTTTAGTGGCTATGGTGTGGTCCTCAGCCGTGTGGTGCTCAGGAGTTTCAAGAGTCAACTCAGTAATGATAAGGGGTCAGGCATGCAGAGCCATAGACAAACCAAGGACCTCTCACAATCTAGGCACGTGCTTTTTCACTCAAACTATATTCCTGATCACTACCTTCAGAATTTCCATTGTCCATATGCCCAGATTTATTTTTATTTTTGTTCCCCCCCGAAAACAATTTAATTGTTTACTAGGTAATCAAGATGCAAATTAGAGCTAAGGCTTAAGTAGTTTTTTTCTGTTCTTTTGTGACATCACTTAATCACTTAATCACTTAATACCCGTTATTCATCGATTTATTCGAGCGGGTGCCAGTAACGTCTCCATTCATCCCGGTTGCGTGCTAGCGTAGCCCAATGGTATCTGTTTGTTCTAGGAACATGCAGAGTCTCAAACCGATCATTTAGGGTCTTGACGAAGAAGTCTGACCATCTTATAGGTGGGCGTCCACGTGATCTTTTGATGTCCCGTGGAATCCAATCAGTAATGGCTCTAGTCCAGCGGTTGTCTGTAAACCTCATTACGTGTCCAGCCCATCTGATTTTTGATGTCTTGGCAAATGAGACAGCGTCCCTGATTCTTGAGTGTTGACGAAGATCAGAACTCCGGATTCTATCTCTCATTTGAGTGAATCGTGATATTCCAAGCATAGTTCTTTCGATTCCTCTTTGAGAGACCCGAATAGTGTTCTCATCCTGTTTTCGTAGGGTCCAGGTCTCTGAGGCATATGTTAATGCAGGACATTTGTGACATCATTGGAATTAAAAATTCCTTTCCTTTCATCTATGAGAGTTTGTGCATATCTCTACTATATTGTTGATTACATTGTTTTAGTTCATTTTTGTACCTTAATTGTGTAGGTATTTGAGTATATTTTTTAAAAGGTCTTTACATTCATCTTTGTATTCCTCAGATATTCTGTGATACCTGTCATATAGTTGGATTTTTGTATTAACTTAACCTCAGGACTTTTTTTTATGAATAAGGCATGTAATTTTCAGACAAATGCTGGCAGATAGATGTAGGAAATATTGGGAAAGAATTTTAATTAGTCTACTATGAGAATGGTTTAACCTAATTTTATGCTATAAATTTATCTTACTTCTCCTAATGCCTAACACTTTATACTCAAAAGCACTCTGCCCATTCATTCTAGAAATGCTTCCCATTCATATATGATTATTTTA